GAATAAAAACATTGTACTCTACCAATGGCCTGCAAAATCATCATTTGTAATTAATGCTAAAATTGAAGCACTCAATACCTACGTCTGTAAAATATCCACCTAATTCATGTGTGTGTGTGTGTGTGTGTGTGTGTGTGTGTGTGTGAGAGAGAGAGAGAGAGAGAGAGAGAGAGAGAGAGAGAGAGTATGACCCAGGGCCTCGTGCAGGCTAGGCACAGACTCTTACCACTGAACCATATATCCCCAGCCTTTCCTGTAATGTGAAGTGTTAACTTTGTCAAAAGCACACTCTTACAGAACATTAACATCATGCCAGAAAGTTCCCTCATGTTCCACCAGTCCAAACCTGCCTACCCTCCCACCTCCATCATTCTTTTGAAATTATTTCTCCATGGGTTAGTTTAGCCTCTTCTGGAATTTCATATAAATGGGATTATGAAATACCCACTCTTTTCTGGGATTTTCTGTGAAGCTTCGTTCACTTAGCAGCATGCTTCTGCCATTTGGTGTGGTGTTCTTTATTTTTTATTGCTGAATTATATTTCATAGTATAAACATACTCAGTTTGTCTGCTGTCCCGCTGATGGACACCTGTGCTGTTCTCAGTCTGTTCATTTATAAAAGGAAGACTAACTCAAATGTCTTGATAGCTGAGCAGAGCATCGTGGGAGCACGGGAGGGAAGGAGTGTTAAGCAGGTTGGTGAATGTTCTTGGAAGACCTTGGTGTTTGAGCAGAAAGGAGCAGAGAGCAGGGGCTTTGCATGAGCAGTGACACTGAGACAGGAAGGATAGAGCAGGAGGTAGCATCTAGTGGAGCTCAGTAGGTCGGCCTGTGTAGGTGTGAGGGGAAGAGAAGATTAGAAAGGCAGATTAGACCTCAGATGGTAGAGGATCCTGGATGTTGTGCCAAGCAGGTTAAATTTAGGTTTATAGTGGAGAGCCATGCAAGCTTTTAAGCTGGAAATGTCTTGATCAAATCTCTGCTTTGAAAGAACTTTGGCAAAGTTGGAGGGAATGAATTTGAAGTGAAATGGAGACTGGAAAAAGGAGAAAAGGGGGAGACTGGCAGATTGGGACCCTTTTGTAGGAGTCCAAGGGTAAGATGTGCTGGCCCACAGTGGTGGCAGGTGATAAGAGAGCTGGGTCAGTGGCAGGCAGGTTAGCACCTTGGGGTGTCTGCAAGGTTAGCACCTTGAGGTGCCTACCGTGTTGGTGAAATGTTGTTAAATATATTTCAGTGGAGGAACAAGGGCTGTGGCATTGAAGAATGGAACAGATTAGACACCATCCCCAAGCCTGTGAGCCTGGGCAGCTGGAGAGAGGAAGTTTTATCAAATGAGAGTTTGTTAATGGGTCAAGATGCTCTGCCTTGTTTTAAATAGGCCAATAGTGCATTTATTAGTCACATGTACATACACACACATCAATGTCCTTCCTTCCTTTCTCTCTTTCTCCCTGTCCCTCCCTCCGTCCCTCATTCCTTCCATATATATTGATGTAGATATGTGAATTCCTATTTTTTTTTCGATGGTTTAAAATTTATTACTGCCCTTCAGTTATCTTTGTGCTCTAGTGGTCCCAGATCTGGTCAGCAGCAGCCATTCAAGATATTTCCTTTGTGTCCTGGGACATGCCCCATCATTTCTTGAGCAGTTTCTCTCTGGTGTTTATGAGCTAGTTCAGGCTCATTTTATAGCTCCTCTGCCCAGTCCCTGGAATCAGCTACTTTCTAGTTCCATTTAGCGGAGAATGTGCCAGAAATTAGGATCTGGATACTAGCGGTGCCCATTGCTACAGGGGTGTCCTTCTCGGTCCTCTCAGTGAACAGAGCTGGGAAAGATGTGTGTGAGTAGACACTCCTACATGCATGTGTTCCCGGTCTGTGTATACATATATGAATACATATGCATGCACACTTAACTGTAGAAATCAGAAGCCCAAACTCACAGCTCCAGTTCTAGAGCCCTCAGGCTCTTCCTTCCCTTCCCTCCCCTCATTCCAGTGTTTGTATGTCAGTCTTCCATCATCAGCACACTTGCTGATATGTTTAGTCCTATCACGTATCTTCTTCATAATTGCTTTAGTCATTGACAACAAAACAAACCTACTAAAAGCTTTCAGGACTTTTTTTTGCAGTTTTCTGCCACACCTACCTAGGACTGGAAATACTAATTCATAACTTGTTCTTTTATACTTTGCCTTTTACGTCTTTTTTTTTTTTTCCTGAAAATTACTCCATGGTCTTTTCCCATTCTTTGACATCTTTATTCTCTTTTGTAACTGCTTTGTACTTCACTGGTTGTATGAACTATCATGTATTTACCCAGTTTCCTATTCTTAAGACAGTCATTTTGCAGTTATAAATTATGCTATAGTGAATAATTTATACATAGATATTTTTGCATCGTTGGAGGTTATCTTCTAAATTCCTAGCAGTAGAATTTCTGGCTCAAAGCACATGAGCACGTGGTTTTGTTAGGTGTTGCCACTGTCTCTTCAGTCAGAGTATTGCGTTCTTACCAGGCTTTGTCAGATGCTGTTCTCCCAGGTTCCCTAACAAGCTGATCAGCGAGACTTTGGACAGCTTCACGAGTGCTAGTGGGTGAGAGACCGTATTTCAGTGTCTCGTTTGCTTCATGGAGGTGAGCACCTTCTCACATGCTTAAGGACTGTGTGTACAGTGAGTTGTTTATTCATAGATTTCTCATTTTTCTATAGGATTTTTAAGTCTCTTCAGTTTTGAGTTATTTTTGTTAATAATATTAACCCTTTCAACAAGAAGGCCTTTTGTTTTTATTTTGTTTTGTTTTCTTGTGTGCTGGGAAAGGAACCCAGTCAAGCACTCCACCACTGAGCTGTCCCCTGCCTGACACCAAGCTTTTATTTGTGACATTATTGTCAATATTTTCTCATGATTTGTCATTTGTCTTTTTTATTTTGCTCATATTATTACCATGCACAATGTTTTTATATTTATGCATTCAAGTTTATAAGTCTTTTATTGCATCTGTGTGTTAAGCCATAGTAAGAAAATATTTTTCTACAGCTAGGCTGTACTTGTGTAGTTACATTTTTTACATTGGATATCTGATCTATTGGGCACTTACTCTTCTGTATGGTATGAAGAATGGCTCTAATTGTAGTCTTTTCCACTTGTCCCATCAGCATTTTTTAAAAGTTCATCTTTCCCCATAATTTGAGATACCACCTTTATCATGCACTAGATTTCTGTCTGCACTTGGGGCTACTTCTGGACTTTGTATTTCATGAAGTATATTTCAGTGCTGTTGGTTCTGGCTGAATTTTCATGAAACATAATGTAAATGTGTAAAAGTCTACCAGGTTCTGGAATTTGTGCTCTGAAGAAATTTTGAGGCCTCTTCCTCTTTTGCAGTCAAAAAATAGGACCTTATTATTTAGGTACTTATGCTTTCTGAATTGTGTAAATTTTCTGAAATCAACCAAATTTGTCTGCCCTTTAAAAAAAAAAACCTTTTTTGAAAGTCTCATCAGTCTGTTGTTTGAGACATGCTCTCAAACCCAGGCTGGCTTTGAACTCATGATCCTCCTGAGTTAGTTTCCCGTATGCTGGAATTATAATACATCTTGCCTGGTGATGTATTATCCATTTTTAAGTAGTAGAGTTTATCATGAAGTTTTAACAGTCCTTCCCCCACCCACAGATACTGCCACTGAAATCTTCCCTTTTCTTCATAGCCACTCAGTAAAATAGATGTTGCTAAAAGTTCTGTATAACTGGTGTGGTGACACACAGCTGTAATCTCAGCACTCAGGAGGCTGAGGTAGGAGAATCATGAATTAAAGTCTACCCTGGGCTACATAGTAAGACTCTGTCCCAAAAAACAAAACAAACAAAAGCCTCTGTGTACAGATGTGAAACAGAGCACAAAGGGAGGGCCAGCCAGCACTCACATCTGTCAGATATCTCCTCCACTTCCGATGACTTAGAAGAACCCATAGGGAAGCAGTTTATCCTCTTCACATGGATGAATTGTCAAGTATAGTCATCAAGTGCAGAGAAGATGTAAGTGCAGGAACCACGTGAACTTGAATAATTGGGCAGCCAGAGTTATACATGGAATATTTCAGAGGATTTACTTCCTGGAGGAGACTAACAGGTGCATATCAGGTGTATATTCATGTATATTCATCCTCATTCCTTTTCTCTTTCTCTCTCCCCCCACCCCCGTCTCGCCCTCTCTCTCCCCCTCCCTCCTTCCCTCTCTTTCCCCTTCCCTCTCTCCCTCCCTCCCCCACCTCACTCCCACTGTCTTTGCTTAAAAGGCTTCCCTTAAATGGAATGCCTTGATTTTTTTAAATGCTTTTCATAATAAATAACCTATTTACAAGACCCATCTAGAGGAGACAGGACTCACCGGCCATGTGGACTGTTTTTTATCAAGTTATATTTCAGGGAACATATTTTCTTAAGGAAAAACCAGGACGCATAATCTGATTTAATTCAACATGTCAAATCCTATAAAGCTTTAAAAACAAAACCAGGTTTCATTATAAATTTAACACGTCACCTTTTTGGAAAAGAAGAGGATTGCACGAAGGTGGGATGTGCTCTGTAACTACTCTGTCTTTGCGTTCTGTGAACAAGCAGATTGAAGGATTCTTGGGTTCTGTGTCCACAAGCAGTCCAGAAATAATACTGCCCCTTCTGACTCATGCACTCAGCACTATGGTTTTGTTGGAGTAGCCCTACTCTTCTGTTAACAGACTTTATCAAAATAGAGACTTAGGATTTCCTATAAAAGTTTGTTCTTACCACTAGGAACAGCTTGGACTTGCATACAGCTGTTCACAACACAGTGTGGAGCTTGCTTCTGAATAAGCTTGTCATGGTAAGCTTTCGGCTCCTACCTGATCGTTAGTTAATTGCTAATAAGATTAAGAGTATTAAATATTGTTACAGGCTGTTCTTCCTGCTCTTCTTAACACCTTTCATGTGGCTCCACTTTGTGCATTTCAGCTTTTCAGCCACCAGCACAGCAGGAAAGAGAAATTTGAGTACTGGTCCAGGACAAGCTGGCTTGGAGGACGGAGTATCAGGGGAGATTTCTGACTCTGAGCTGGAACAGACAGATTCCTGTGCAGAATCCCTCTCAGAGGGAAGGAAAAAGGCCAAGAAATTGAAAAGAATGAAGAAAGAGCTTTCTCTGGCAGGTTAGTATTGGACTTGCTAAAATCGTGGGGTTGGGTACTGCTTCAGTGCTCTAGAAACTCATATTTTTGGGGAGAAATGATAGCAGTGATTTCCTTGAGGACAGAGCCCATGTGGTCACCCACATGAGAGATGTTTTTAGGAACCCTGGAAAGGCCTGGCTCTGGTACAGAGGCTGGTGAGGCTTCCTCACCGAAGATAATTAGTCCATTCTGATGGTCTCTCTCCTGCATGGTTTAGAGATTTTGCTGGTGTGTTTAAAGTAGCTTTGGCATTTAAAATGCGCCTTTAGATCTGCACGGAAGCCTGCTCCTGCACGTCATTTTCAGCAGCAGAGTTCACACATCCCCAGCAGCTCCCCTGGCAACCTGGATTTCTCTCAGGAGCAGAATTATATAAGAAGTCAATGAAAAATTAACATGTGTTGAGAGCCTGCTACATGCCAGAGTGTATGTAGTAGGAGTTTTTCTCCCTTTATTTCACTAGATTTTCACAGCATCCCTGAGGTGAGGACCCATCATCCCTGTTTTAGAGATGTGAGTGTCTGGCTCCGTGTGGCCACTTAGAAGCAGAGCCCAGGCCTGCCTGAGCCCAGCCCCGTGTCATCTCTACCCCAGCCTAGTGCAGCCTGGGGGCACAGACCAGAGATGGTCCACAGCATTACCTCTGAAAGGCCACTCCCTACGCTGAGGGATGGTGGCCATGACTTGGTCAATCAGCAGACACAATGACAGTGGCTATCGTCATTGCTTACTGAGTGTTTGTTATGCTTTCATTTCAATCCGTGAAGCAGTCATCATTGTCCATTCTATGATTAAGAAGACAGAGGCCCAAAGGGCTAATGACTTGCCCAGGACCCAGAGCCCTTAAGTCCTGTCACACTCACCATCATGTGTTATGCACTTAGGATGAGAGCAGCACTGGCATAAATGCAGTTATCATTCTTTCTCTTTTGTCCCACATGGTGACAGTTGCCCTGGCTAAGAAGAGCTCTCAGTCAACCAAAGGAAGGCAGCAGTCAGGCAGTGGGACTAGGTTTGAACTGGAGCTAAGAACCTTTTAGTTATTTTCTTTTTGCATCTGTAGCGATCTGGCTGCAGGGAGTTTTCTGAATCTCATTGATACTAATGAAATCACAGAAGCAGCAAAAATGTTGCATACGCTTTTTATAAATTGTGCTGAAGCTTAATTTAACAGAAAACTTAAACTCTTGTTTGAAGCCTTGATTTTTGTGCATTTAGCTGTTCCTGTGAATCTGGGTGTTTGCTTCCCATCCTTTTCATAAATTAGATTTTGGAGAGGTTTCTAAACTGTTGACTTGGTAGTCTTCAAAATGTAGTGCCACCATCATCTGTATAAACTCAAAACTGCTAAATATTGACTGTTAGCATGACTTAGCAATTACTCTGAACTTGTATCCCTGTCCTTCATCACTCAGTCTCATGAATTGCTCATTTATCCCTTCTGTCACATTATATTGGGTTGTTTTTTTGTTTTTTGTTTTGTTTTTGTTTGGGGGTTGTGTTTTGGTTTTTTGGTGGACCTGACATTTGAACTTGGGGTCTCATGCTTGCTTGTCAGACACTCCACCACTGGAGTCACACCACAGCCCCAGTTTATCCCTTCTCAGGGACAAGTTTTTTGGTTTTTCTCCTGTAATACCATAATTTTAAAAATACTAAAATTAAAGCACCTAATTATAGACTGTATTGAGAGATTAGTTTCTTTTATAGTTCATCATTTAAGTGAAACTTTCTTTAAGTTATTTAGGGTTTTGAACTTCTGATACTGTAATAAAATCACTTTTCCCCCATTGACAGTAAAGCTGTCACTGCCAAAAGATTTGAGCTAAAAAAAAAAAATGTAAATTTTGTACTTCTCTGTCAGTACTGCTGAGAGAGGGGGAAAGAGAGAGAGAGAGAGAGATTGACACGTTTTAATTGAATCAGAGAACCTGGGAGAATTGGGCTTTTTTCTGGAGTGCCATTCACCTTGCGAGGTCTTCTGACCATGCAGGTCAGAACTTAAAGGGTCCTTTTCACCTGCTTTGTTTTAAGCATTTAATCCTGTTAGTATCTGCAGGCTATAGGTCAGGAAACCATGCACTGAGCCTGTTGAATCAGCCAGTATGCTTGTTCAATTCCTTGAGGAAGGCCCTCTAATGAGTGAAAGCACAAAGCTCCAACCTGAAAAGGGTCTGTGTTGATTACTCAGGGTGTTTGGCCATGCCAGGAGCCAGTGGGCTTGGTTCTGCCTGGTATTAAAGTGTTAGGGACAGTGTGGCCCAGTCCGTGTCCCACTGAAAGTGAGTCTAGTGCTCAGCATCTTGACAGGTATTCAGATACTGAGCTTTTTAATATCTAAGACATACTAGGAATTAAATGCTAGGCCCCTTTGCACATAATAAAAGTACCTAAATAGGAGAAGACATAACCATATTTATATTATGTTTATATCATGTATTGATGTGCTAGGAGCCGCCTTTTTCTCTCTTTTTTTTTTTTTTTGCACTGCTGGGGATTGAACCCAAGGCCTCATGTATGCCAGGCAAGCACTCTACCGCTGAGCTCTATTCCCAGCCCTTGTGTAGCCCTCATAAACATGCAGAGAGGCAGAGATGTCATTATTTCCCAATTACAGAGAGGAACGTGAGGCTTATAATGTACATTTTACAAAGTCAGAGGAGAGAGCTGGTGGGTGTGGGGCTGTCTGACTCCAGAACTCCTTCACTGCTCCGCTCTTCAGTGGGTGAGTATTTCTAAAACTGTTCTAGATCAGAAACAAACCAACCTGGGGTTTTAATTCACTCGATAAAAATCCAAGCTATTGCTCCCTCCAGGGCTTCTGTTACATACTTACCATGTGCTCAGCAAGTATTTTTCTCTTAAGTGTGGTTGCTTCTCTCTTGTTTTCACAAAGCAAATGTATGGTGCAAGTCTCCTCCTTTTATATGAATTATGATTCTTGGTGACTAGTAGTACTAGCTACTTTTCCTCTGAGCAATTTAAGGTACATTCTTGGCTGGTACATAAGAAAACTATTGCATGTCATTTGTACTGAGATAAATTGTTTTGCTGGAAATGGTGGTTTTCCCAGGTCAAGCTTACCTGATGGATTTCCATAACACTCATTTTTGCTCAGCATTCGCCAAGAAATATTGGACAGCCCACAGCTAGAGTTTGCAGCAGCACCTGCCTGGGGGGCACCCACAGAGCTGGCCCAAAGGAAGGTGCAGGCACTATTCATGGTTGTTTCTTGTCCTGCAAGTAGAGACACTGTGCACATCTTTCCCCTAGTCCTTTTTCAGTTTTACTGAAATCTTGACTAATCTGCTGAACTTTCAAGCTTCAGCCCTTAGGGCGGTCATCTCCTCAGGCTGTTACAGGTCTCATTAAAGTCACAAACAGGAGCGACAGGTGCAGCTTTCCATGTGCGCCCAGTGACCTCCCAAGGAGCTTCTTAATAGCTATGTTAAAATGTGGCCCTCAGCTTCAGTGTGGCCCAAGAGGGAGGCGCTGGGCTCAGGAACATGCTGAATGCATATCTTGTCCTTGCTCCCCTGGGAACTCCTGAGGCTTCAGCAGCCACCCCTGAGGAGGCATGGGAAGTCCACCACACTGCCTTTGTGAGCACTGCTGATTGAAAGTGTGTGCCTCCCAACACGCCTTTGTGTTAATAAGTGTTCTTACTCTGCCTGTCATATTCTGCATAGTTGACAGCCTGCCCTTTGTACAATATGTATCCTGTTTTTTCCCATTTCAGACACTTTTGGTCAAATAATCTTAGTTACCAGCATAATATTTCATACTACAATTTTGTTGGATATTTTTCTCCTGAGACAGAGTCTTGCTATGTTGTCTAGGCTGGATTCCAACTTCTGGGCTCAAGCAATCCTCCTATCCCAAGTATCTGGGACTACTGGCATGTGCTAATCCCCTGCTGGATGTACCGGGGTTTGAACTCAGGGTGTCCTGCTTGCTAGGCAGGTGCTCTACCACTTGGGGCACTTCCCCCCCCCAGGCTCCTTCCCCCACTTTTTTTTTCTTTAATTCTTTTTCAGATAGGTTCTTGTGCTTTTGCCCAGGGCCTCCAATGTGGCTGGGACCACAAGAATGCACCACCATGCCTGGGTTTATTGAGTGAAATGGGGTCTTTTGCTGGCTTTGCTTAGGCTAGTCTCAAACTAAAATCCTCTCTTACCTTGCCTCCAGAGTATCTGGGATTCAGGTGTGAGCCACTGGGCCTGACCAGACTGCATTTTTCTAAATATTATTCCTAATGTCTTTTGCATGATCAGCTTTATTAAGATAATTTGCACCCAATAGAAGTCATCAATTTTAGGTGTACAGTTTGATGGCTTGCACAGCTGTGTGCAGTCATATATCTACCACTGTAATCAAGGTATAGAACAAAGGGTCTGGTTTGGTAGTGAACACCTGTGACTTGGGAGGCAGACACTGGGAGGATTGCAGGTTGAGTCTAGCCTAGGCAAAAGGTTAGCAAGACCCCATCTCAACCAGCAAGCCAGGTATAGTGGCTCAAGTCTGTAACCTCAACTACTGGGAAGTATAGGTAGGAAGATTGTGGCCAGAAGCCAGCCCTAGGCAAAAATGTGAGACCCTGTCTGAAAAATAACCAAAGCAAAAAGGGCTAAGGCATAGCTCAAATGGTAGAGCACCTGCCTAGTAAATTCAAGACCCTACATTCAATCCCCAGCACTACCCCCCACCCCCAAAAAACCCATATGTGTATAACAATTCTCTTTCCAGAAAATTCCCTTATATGGTGGTTAGTCCTTTCTCTGGATCCCTTAATCCTGGCAACTGCTGAATTGCTGTCACTATTATTTTGCCTTTTCCAGAATGTCTTCATACGGCAGCGTGCTGTAGGTGCCCTTCACTTCTTTCATTTAGTGCAGTGCATTTGAGATTTGTACTGTTGCTTGCATCATTAGTTCATACCCATTCCTTTTTATTGCTGAGTAATATTCCATTCTGAGGATGTAATGTTACTTGTTTCTCTACTTCCCAGTTGAAGGGCAGTTAGGCTGTTGCAGTTTGAGGTTGTAATCTGTCTTGGAGCCTTAACAGTCAACAGAGAAGCTGTGCTGGTTTTCCTGCCGCCCTGTTTAATGGCTGTAGCAAGGCACAGCCCCTGCGCAGTGAGCCAGGCTGCATACTTTCCACTGCTAGTGCACTCTTCCCTGACTTGGTTCACACTCACAGAGGTCTAGACTGCTGTGGCCCAGCAGTTGGCATTGCCACTCTTACAGAAAGTGGCACGAGTAGAAAAGAAGGGTTTCTGACTTCAAGGAAAGCATTTGCAACTAAAGATCTCTTCCGGTCCAGAGGACCCTGAAATTCAGAAAGAAACTGCAGCTGCTTTTCCATCTTGGATCTGCACATGGGAACTTGGTGCTGAGAAACCGTCCAGACCCTCTGCATCTCCTCAGCCTGTTCTTGCATTTAGCGTGAGGATATTGACAGCACCCTGGTGAGCTCTTAGGGAGATTACATGAATTAAGTACCCAGTGTGATTGCAGGCAGAGAAGGTCTCATGTGTGCAACTGTTGAGCCCATGTTCAGACTCCTGTAAACTGAGAGATGGAGGCAGGCAGCAGAGCAGGGAAGGGAGGCACTCCTCTAATCCCAGCTGGGCACCTCTGTGACTTCCTCTAGTGGGGCCAGCAGCTGGCCCCCTGCCTTTCCCTTTGGAGGCTGCCTGCAGCCACAGTGTGTTCTCTCATGCCCTTTTTCCTCTTCCACCAGGAAGCCGAGCGGACAGCCCTGCCAAGCTCTTTGAAGTCCCTGACACGTGGTAACCAAGGCCTGAGTAAAGCCACCACTGGTGCCAGCGCTGAGGAAGAGCAACAAGCACATCTGGAAGCCATGCTGTATTGTATTTAATAAAATGTGGCGTGGGGGGACCAAGACTGTCTCCTGGAAAGACCAGTTTTTATTTTGGTGGCTGTTTCTTTTTCATTTTTAATCAAAACTAACTTGACAAGCACCACAGTCTGGGCTGGCGGGAACACGTGTGTCATTGACCCGTTCGTCACGTACCACTCTGCTCGTGGGAGGCCTTTCCTGTGGCTCAGTGTTTGAGAATCCACCCGACTGGGAGCCGAGCTTCAGGGTGCTCTGGTCGCCTGTTCTGGGCTGAGCTCTTTCCTGCTGAGGAAGGTGCTAGCCCATCCTCTCCTGCTCAGACTATGGGACCATGGCAGGTTGAGGTCACAATCTTATTCTGGGGAAAGAGTGTAGCCGCTGCTTCCCGCCCTAGCTGCCTGAAGGCAGCATCCCGGCTTGTCTTGCCCGTAGGAAGACATCCTCTGGTGTCGACATGGGAGAGCTCAGCAGGTGCCTCGTTACCTTTCCTGAGATACTAGCTCTCGGGGATATTGCAGTATTTCGTCCCTCTGGTCTTACGTGCAGCACTGGGCTCCCTTTGCAGCAGCTCCACCCGCTCCTCTCCTGTTTGTGTGTGTGTGTGCGTGCATCCATGTGCATGTGTGAGTAACATCATGACCAGCTGCACAGATCAGCCCTTCGTGTGAACAGCACCACAGTGACAACCTCAACCTTCAGCAGTCTGCTTCTGGTAGATCATTGTTACATATGCAACATTTTTGTATGTGAAAATAAAAATGAAAAGCCTATTTCCAAAAAATGAAATTAAAAAAATTTTCGTAGAACCCTCTGGTTTTCTTTCTCTTTTTAACAAGTGAATGATGGATTCGCTCATTCTTTTTCTTTCTTTTTTCCCTCTCACCCTGGTACCTGCCACTGTAGGTCAGATCCCCAGTGCTGGAGCTAAGTCTTGGTGGTCACTGGCTGAGGATTTGGTGGGAGGAATTGGGGGCCTTGAAACTCCCATCTGAATTGGTGCTATTATGTGGCCCAGGTGTGTAAGGCACTTTCCCCAACAAGAGCCTCGTATCCCTTCTCTTTTCCTTCCCCTTTCTGCTGCTTTTCTTCTCCTAGAGTTCTGTGGCTTCAGAATTCCAAACCCAGAGCTGGTGGGAAGGGATACGCACATGTGTGCAGCTGCCATTGCTCACAATGCAATGGGAAGGTAAAGTTCACTTTTGATGGAGGCAAACGGGGTTTGAGGGGCTGCTGGGCTCTGTGGGCCCTTCAGACTCATGGGGAGGAGCAGGGAGTAGAGTGCCTGACACTGGAGACTACGGGTCCCCCATGTGTGAGTGTACATGGCCTAGTAAGCAGGCCCTGTGTGGTGGATGTAAACCCTTTTGTCCTGTGCAGCTCTTGCCCTGAGGAGATAGAAGTCTCCATTGTACCCTGAGGCCCACCTAGGAATACACACACACTCCCTGCTCAGAAAGCTTTGCCAAGGCATACATGTCGCACCCCTGCCAGAATGGTCAAGAGGAGCTTGGCCAGAATGCTTTCTGGAAAGGGCACATGCTCTAGAGCCTTCACTGTTTGCATCCAGTTCCTGCTGTGTGTCCCTGTGGATGCATTACCTTCTCAGCTCAGTCTCCTCCTTCATAAAATCAGGATGATAACCCTACTCTCACAGGGTGGTCATGCACACATGACAATTCTAGTGATATCAAAGGTTATATTTTTGATCTGAAACCCTTATTGTATCTACTTGTGTCCCTGGAGCTACCATAGAGGTAGACATTGGAATTTGGGTTACAGTTAAGTACTCATGCACCCCTCACACATGCCCAGCGTGTTTTCCCAACTGCATCAACTGACTCAAAACATATGAACTGGTTGACCCTTCCCCTCTGCAAACACACGCCAGCGTTTCTCACCACCTGAGCATAAAGCCCACGGTAGTGCTTCTGGACTTGGTCTGAGGTTCAGGGAGCAGCATGGGTAGGGAAGGGCTTGAGGGCTTCTTGCATATTACAGCTAAACCTGCAGGCAGGTGGAATGGGGACCTCTGTGGCTCCCTGCGAACCCTTTTGTCGTTCTCGGATTGGGGAATGGGAGTAAAGACCACACACTGCGGCTATACATGTTTTTATAGTTTTGCGTTTGTCCAGTCTCCACTTCTCCAGTATCTTACTGTGAAAATTTTCAGACACACAGAATATTATTCAGTGAACACTCACTCGTACCACGGGCTGGACAATTACCATTGCTATGTTTGCTTTACTATATATCATTCATCCATCCATCCATCCATCAACTCATCTTAGTTTTTGATGCACTTGTAACTTGCAGACATCAATGCATACTCCTTCCTAAATACTGCATGCTTGTCATTAGCAAGAACTGAGTATTTGTTTATATTTGGGGACATTTGGACATAAAACCTAGAGAGAAATCCAGTAAGTTACCAGTAAGTGCAACTCCAACTATCAAGACACCGCTACTCACCCCAGAATGTTCCCTTGTGCTTCTTCCTACTCTACCCCAGTCCCACTCCTCCACCCCCAGAGGCAACCACAACTCTGAGTTTCCTCCACAGATTAACTGTCTAGAACTACATGAAAACTGAACTAGAAAGTTCATGGTATAAGCTGGGACTAGGGTTGTAGCTCAGTGGTGGAGTGATTACCTACCATGATTGAGGCCCTGGGTTTGAGCCCCACTCCGAAAACCATGTGTGTGTGTGCATGCTCACACGCACACGCACACACGCAAGGTGTGAGCCTCCAGTCACTCAGCACAATGTTTTCGATACTGATCCAGGCTGTGCATGAATCAGTTCATTGTTTTTGAGTGTGCATATGCCACAGATCTTTTATTCTTTCTCCAACTGACAGACACCTGAGCTGTTTCCCAGCTTGGGGGTAGTATGAATAAAGCTGCTGTGAACATTCTTGTATAAGTCTTTTAAATTTTTTGAAGAAGAAAGTCTTTGACCTGGGGATGTAAAATACAAAGGAGTGGGTACATACCAAGGAGGGTGTTGGGATAGGTGTGTGTTTTGTTTTATAAGAAACTGTCAGATCTTTTCCCAATGTGGTTGTATCATTTATACTGTCACTGATAACCTAGAAAAGTCCTGGGAGTTCCCTTCCTTAGTGACACAGTTTTGTCAGTCTTTGACTTAGCCCTTCTGGTGGTGTGTGGCATATCATAGCAATTAGCTCATTTCTCTAATGACTGGTGATGATGGACTTGGGGCCACATGTGTGTCTTCCTTTGGGAACTGTCTCATCCTCTTGCCCGTATTTTATCAGATCGTTTGTCTCTATTACCATGTTAGTCCATTACATAGTCTGGACATCAGTCCTTTGTCAGATAGTTGTTTGGCAAATATTTTAGTCCCTGTCTGCAGCTTGTTTAGTTTTTTTTAACAGTCCTCTTTACAGGGTGGAAGTTTTTTATTTTGATGAAGTCTATTATTTATTTATTTATTTATTTTTGCAATGCTAGAGCTTGAACTCAGGGCCTACATCTTAAGCCACTCCACCAGCCTTTTTTTTTTTTTTTTTTTAATGGGTTTTTTCAAGATAGGGTCTCTCGAACTATTTGCCCGGGCTGGCTTTGAACCACGATCCTCCTGATCGCTGCCTCCTGAGTAGCTAGGATTACAGGGGTGAGCCACTGGCACCTGGCAAAGTCTATTAATTTTTTCGATCTACATCCTATCAGAGAAACCCTAGAATGGTAAAAATATGCTTGCGTGTTTTCTTTTATAAGCATTGTAGCTTTAGTGCTTTAGTCATCTTAACTTTTTAGTGTATTGTGAGAGACTGGAGTCAGGATGCCTTCATTCCATATGAATGTCTGCTTATTCCAGGGACATCTGCAGTTCTCTATTAAATCACTTTGAGATTTTAGTAAAAAAAAAAAATTGGTTGACTTAATAAATGGGTCTTTTTTGTGCGTGTGTGTGTGTTACTTGGATTTGAACTCAGGGTCTACACCTCGAGCTACTCCACCAGCCCTTTTTTGTGAAGGGCATTTTTGAGATAGGGTTTCGCAAACTATTTTCCTGGGCTGGCTTCCAACTGCGATCTCTACCTCTTGCGTAGCTAGGATTGCAGGCGTGAGCCACCAGCACCTGGCAAAGTCTTGAGTGCAGTTGGTTTGTTTGTTTATTTTTGGCCTCATGCTTGGGAGGCACTCTACCAGTTGAGCCACTCCGCCAGTCCTTTTTTGCTTTGGTTATTCTAGAGATAGGCTCTGGCATTGGCCAAGGCCACCCTGGCCCTCAAACCTCCTTTTTATGCTTCCTGTCATAGCTGGGGTGACAGCTGCTGGAACCAATATCCTCCCCATGTCAGCTTCTGACATAGCTTAGGATGATAGGTAAGTTTCACTGTGCCAGCTATTGGTTCAGGATGGGGTCTTGCTAACTTTTTAGCCTGGGTTGGACTGGGATTGATCCTCCCAATCTCAGCTAGGATTATACTACTCAGCCACTGCACACGACTGAGCGTGTATTTTAAAAGTATGTTACTAGCAGTGCAAGGAAAATCTCCATCCTGTGCACAGGGTTCCCACGTGGACAGTCGCTCAGCATTTACCTTGACCTTCCAGAGGAAAATGTAACATTTGGTTGCTGCTGAGGCCAGCCAACCCATGCTCTCCTGGTCTGAAGCCAGTGAGTATTAAAAATAGTTCAATCTTTTTGAATAACTTGTTTTGTTTTTCAATCTCATGACTTAAGTTTCATCACTTCACCTGCCACCATTTTCCCCCAGTGATCATGGAATAAATCAGAACATGGTAGATTTTGTCAAGGAGGGAAATAGAAATACCTGAAGGCCAGTTCATGTTTCTGCTGCTTGGGAGCCACCTGCTCCTCCAAGTTGTCTGGTTGTCCGGTCCCTGTTAACAGCAGCTCAGTGTCTCTTCAGCCCCTTATCTGTTCTCTGTGCCATGAATTTGAACTTGAGAAAGCTCTTGATGCCGGCTGGGCCTGGTAAAAATGCTACATGTTCACCAACTGAGAGGCTCTTCTTAAATGGACCTGTTTTAGACAGGATAATTCTTAAAAAAAAAAAAAAAAAAGGGCAACAAAAAGAGCCCTGTTATTTTTCTTTGTGAGGAGGGCTTTAATTGTGTTTCATATGAGCAATGGATCCTTGTGCTGGTCTTTTTTAAAGTGAGAATATAGGGAAAGTCTAGACCAGAAAGCTTGCAGCCAAGGCTTGTTGTCCACGCATGGATTGGTGCAGTCTGCGTGGAGGGAGGCCCACGGTGCCTGTGCACAGGCCTGCGCACAGCATGGAATTGTGCTGCCATAGTTCCGACACCAATCAGACAAGCAGTTTCAGGCCTTGTGTGTACAAGGCCTCTTCCTGCACAAGGAGGGGTGGGAGACAGGCCTCTCCCCAGAGTGCCCTTGCAGCCACTGCAAGCCTGGACAGTGGGCTCTCTGTCCCTGGCAGCCCTCAGTGGGCAACAGCCAGACCACTAACGGCACTTGGACAGACGTGGCTCCGTGCCTGTCTCTGCACAGCTTCCCCTCCAGGCACAGTGATCCACTTTGCCTAGACTCTTTATTTCTCACAACCCAGAACCTGGGAATTTTGAGTTGTTCTTTTGACTCAGGAAGGACTACTTCTATCTGGGAGGTGTCCTCATTTGTCAAGTGGGGTAAACATCGTGCAGCCTCTCCAAGCATGATGGTGACTCAGCAAAGCCTCAGCCTCTGCCTGCATTTGGAGGCTGGGTCTGCATGGGAAAAACGAGGGTCTG